ACTGGGATTATAGGTGTGCACCTTGTGTCTGGCTAGAAGCCCACTCTTTGACAGCAATCTTCATAGATTCCATAGAGGCTAACCTGCTCCTGCAGGTTGCCAAGGTGGATATTTCAACCAGTGTGGAGAGTTAAACAACTGTTTACCCTTTTTTTTTTTTTAATCACTGAAATCCCTAGTGACCTCAGTAACTTTTTTTTTTTTTTTTAAAGAGAGAGTGAGAGAGAGACAGAGAACTTTTTTAAATATTTATTTCTTAGTTAACGGCCGACACAACATCTTTGTTTGTATGTGGTGCTGAGGATCGAACCTGAGCCGCATGCATGCCCGGCAAGTGTGCTACTGCTTGAGCCACATCCCAAGCCCAACTGTTTACCCTTAAAGGGCACAAAAATCATATAATTTTGTTACAAGACACAATTGAATTAAATTTCTAATTCTAGCTCAAAGTAAAACAAGTGATGTTAGTGGCATTCAAGAGTCCGAGGCAAGAGAATCTCAAGTTTGAGGCCAGTCTCAGTGTTTAGACCTTTTACACAGAAAGGAGTAAATGTGGGGCAGTCTGTGATAACTGCATGATTCTGCTCAGGGTCCCCATTCTAGGAAATCCCTTCTTAGGAAAGCTCAGAAACATGAGGAAACATAGGATTTGTGAACTAGAAAAATATGGTTAACCTGGTGCATGCCTAAAGTCCCAGTGACCCAGGAGGCTGAGGCAGGAAAATCCCCAAGTTCAAAGCCAGCAACTTAGTGAGACCCTGTTTCAAAAATAAAAAATAATGGGCTGAGGGTGTGTTTAGGGGTTAAACACCCTGGGTTCAATCCTAGTACCAAAAAAAAAAAAAAAAAAAAAAAAAAGCTAAAGATGTTAGAGATGAAGCTCAACGGTGCAATGCTCCTGAGTTCAATCCCCAGTACCACAAAAATAAGTAGTCCAAGTGACGTAAGCTATAAAATCATACCCCACAGTTTTTAAATTAATATACAGCTGCATATGTAAAACAAAACTGGCTAGATATTACATTTAACAGACGTGAACTACTTTAACCAATGACCATGTATAAAAAATAAATTCAGACCCCTTTATAAATAGAGAACTTGGGGCTGGGGTTGCAGCTCAGTGGTATTGTGTCCATCTACGTCTGAAAAAAATTTAAAAAGTAAAGAACTTAGAGCTTCAGTTTTCTTCAAGTGACAGCCTTAGTGCTGGCTTCTGCATGTGTTTGTGTTCTTCAGGAATAATTTTGTTTCAGGGTTTTCCTTTTCTGTGTGTGTGGGGCGGGGGTGGGGGGTACTGAGGATCAAATCCAGGGCTTGTGCATTCTACCAATTGAGCTACATCCCCAGCCTCTGGGTATGTACCTATTGTGAACGACACAGCAAGTTTTATTTTTGTTTGTTTTTTTAATTTTTAAGCAAAAATCTGGAAGAGCAGAAATCTACCAGTTTGCTTTTGAGTCAACTTCTTATATGAGATGAGGCTGACACATTTTAGAGTAAAGGAAGAAATGTAGGACGTTTCAATTATTTGAATTCATAAAAATGGAATACGTCTTTTAAAAAGGAGGCAAAGGACTGAAACATTAAAAATGAATGTTGTGGCTCAGTGGTAGAGTGCTCACCTAGTATGCATGAGGCACTGGGATCGATCCTCAGCACCACATAAATATAAAATAAAGATATTGTGTCAACCTAAAACTAAAAATAAATGAATAAATAAAAGAATGTGAACGAATGAAGAAATTGCACAAAATGACGCTTAGTCCTTTTACATTTTTTCGGCACTGGGGATTAACCCAGGGGCACTTAACCGCTGAGCCACATCCCCAAACCTTTTTTTGTAATTGTTTAAAATTTAGAGACAGGGCTTAGGGCCTCCCAAAATTGCTGAGGCTGGCTTTGAACCTCAACCTCCCAAGCCGTTGGGATTACAGGGTGCACAAYCGCGCCTGGCTCCATAGACCTTCTTAACAACTTTAGTATGACAACGGAGTAAGGGAGAATGAGTAATGCCATCAGGACATCAGTGACAATCTTCACCTAGAAAAGAATCCTTGGTGGTGATGGTTAAATTTGAACTGATGGAGTAGTGATTGGCTATGGCTGTGAAACTGATACGAAGGTTATACTGCTCATGGCAGGGCCAGGGGAGCCTGGCTAGCGTTTAGTTTTATAAAAAACCTTTAGAAAGACTGGCGCACGCATATGAGTGTTCATCAACTGCTGTGCGCTTGGGGAATGCCAATTCACTATTTCCTATATTCATTACCTGCAGCTACTCCCTGTCCCCCCAAAATACATCAGGGGAAATGAAATCTTTAAGCATGAAGTCTTTCCAAACTGGTTTTGAAGATTTACGCCTTTTTCTATTACAGTAATAAGGATTTAAGTTGCTAAAATATGTTGAAACCAACATAAATATGCCATTCGAAGGCATTCCCTGTCTTCGGATCGCTGGGTTTCCTTTTTGGGTAGGGAAAGTCCCAYGCCCACGTGCGCGGATTAGGGACCATCTCATAGATGAGAAAAGCAACTTTTCAGACCTTTGTCCCAAGTCACTACACTATACTTTCTTGAGACTTTCTGGGACAAAACTGAGGCACTGTATTCTCTGCAACTGTTTTCCCAAATCCATCACGGTCTTTGAAGGCAGCGTCCAAAGTGAAAAGTGGGAAGTGTCAGCTCCTCTAAAAGCAGACGCACCGCCTAGCGGAAACCCAGGGAGGTCCGCAGTCTGAGCTGGACCAGAGAAAGGATAAACAGGGAAACCAGTGCCGCCCCGGAGCCCTACCACGTGCACCAACGCGCCGCTCCGCCCGCGCCCGAGTGGCCAAGCGCCCTCTCGCGCCCCCTCGCACCCGGCCGGGGCCGCACGTCCCGCGCGCTCCTTCCGCGCGMGCGGGGGGGCGGGGCAGGGCGGGGGCGCGCGCGCGGGGCCGCGAGTAGGGGGGCGGGGCAGCAGAGCTCGGCGGCTGGGCCTGGAGGACAGCGGCGGAGGAAGCGACCAGCGGCAGCGGGAGAGGCGCCGAGAGGCCGTACGGGACGCGGGCGCCAGGAACAGGGAGCGCAGAGGTAACGCAAGACGGAACAGGCGGGCGGGGAGTGAGCGCGGGATCGCAGGGCCCCGAAGGCGAGTGGCRGAGGCCGCCTCCCGGGGCGCCGATGCCGCTCCCCAAGTGGAGGGGGCGGGGCGCTCGGGTCTCGGGAGGAGGCGCCTTTTGTCTGCCTTTCGCGGCCGCTCCGCCCTCTCCCCTCCCCCCTGCGACCTAGCCCCCTGCCCCTCTTGCGGACGCCTCCTCCGGGGCCCTCCGGCGCGCGCGCTCCCGCCCTTGTTTTGTTTGGACTTGGGGGAGGAGGGGCAGCGTCTCCCTGGCCGGGCACCCCCCCTGCGTCCCAGCGCGCCTGCGSCGGCGCGCGCAGCCGCGCCTGATTGGCTACCGTCTCGCGCATGCTCCTAGGCCGCGAGGCCTGTCGGCCGCCGCGCCCTCCCCTCACCCCATTCCCTCAGCGGTCTTCGGAGCCGGTTCGAAAGATGCCGGCGGCGGTGACTGGCTGCGGCGGGCCCGCCCCCCGGGTTCTCCGCCCCCGCCGCCGCCGCCATTACGGAGCTCCCAGCGGTGAGTGTGCGGAGGCGAGGCCCGCGCTCCGTTGCCTCTCGCGTGGCCGGGACGGGCACCGCCACGTCCTTGCCGAGCGGAGTCCGCGGCTGTCACCGCTCCGAGCCTCGGCGGGCGGCTTCCGCTGCCCCGAGCGCCCCTGCCGTCTTCGCCCAAATCTCTCCCAGCTGTCGCGTGTCCGCCACCGTGGCCCTATAGCGCTGCCGCTCGCTGCCTCGCCTCTTTGTCTTGGCTGTTCTTGTTGGCGTCCCTCCGCTTTTCGTGGGCGCGCTGTCTGCTGTCGGCTTCCCTGCTATGGCGGCCTTGCGCTTCCGTTTTCCCCTATGCCTCACCTAGAACTTGGAGCCCCCGCACCTTAGGCGGTGTGGTTTCCGTCAGAGCAGTGCTTCCGTAGGCTGTCAAAAGATAGCATCGCCAGTCTGAGTGTGTGTAACGAGGTGGAGGCAGGAGTGGTGAAGTGAGAGCGCTGGATCTGAGTTGACCACTCTTCTGTGGCCGGGGACAGTCACCTAACCTTTTTGAGACAGAAAATTCTCTCCTGCACAGCCAGAGAGGACTGGTGGGCTGTACTAGCCCTTCCGCATGTAAATTCTCCCTTGGTTGGTTCTTGTACTTCCTGACTTTTCATTGCATTGACAAGCTAGAGGCCACTAACAAATACGGCTTAGAAATGCACCCGGACCTTTTGAGCAATTGTCTTGACTTAATAGTGAAGTTAGACGTGACTGGTGTTATTTTGGAAGGTATTTTGGATTTGTTTAATCTGGCATAGGCATAAAACTACTAGCTTTTAAGAATTTTACTGCTCCTTTCAAAAGTGTAATTTGTATCAAAGTAGATGTGACATTTTAAAAGAGTTTTTTGAGTTTTTATTTTTTAAGTTTACTTGGAAGTTGAGGACTGGAAGTTGGTTGAGGAAGTATACTGAATTCATACATAGATGAAAATCTTAACTCTACCTATTTCGATTGATTATCTGGAGAGGAGGGACCACATAGTGTCTTTGGCATCTATGCCCAAGGTTCACAGACATGAAATATTAATTTACTTTAATATGAAAGTGAAAAAAATTGTCAGCCAAAGTACAGGGATTCACATTTTACAGGACTCATTATATTTAAGTGTAGTGAAAGATTTTGGATCCGGAACAGTTTGAAGTACATAATTAGTGTTGTTAGACTGCATAGAGTAATACATATACTTTCTGGCAAATTAAGAAACAATAGTATTTTCCCTGAATGCATATTGTTAAAATACTTTGTTAAATACCTTAGTTTTTCTGTTTCTTTTTCTTTGGTTCTTTTTTTTKGGGGGGGGGGGTGCGGTACTGGAGGTTGAACTCGGCCACATCCCCAGCCCTGTTTTGTATTTTATTTAGAAACAGGGTCTCTGAGTTGCTAAGCACCTTGCCGATGCTGAGACTGGCTTTGAACTCAGAGTTCTCCTGGCTCTCCCGTCGGAATTACAGGCATGCGCCACCATGCCCTGCTTGCTTTTCCTTAATATGGAGGGAATACAACTGAAATTTTGAAGTTTTTATTTCTGCAAGTTCTTTATTGCCTGCATTACAACTTAATTTAGGCATTTCCTTTGACAAAAGCAAATCTTTGTATTGTTAATCTAACATTAAACTCATAAAACAAAACAAAACAAAAAAGTGAGAACCACATAAACCACAGGTAAATATGGATTATTTGTTTGGGGCATATATAAGAACTCGGGTGAAAAGCATATTTAAGTTTCAGTTATTCAGCCTTTTACAAATATTTGTTGAGCGCATATTCTGTGCCTGGTATGTTCTTGGGCACTGAGTATACAACAGTGAACCAATTAGATAAGATCCCTGCCAGGGAGCAAGCATGGCAGCTTTTTTGAAAGTCTGATGATTCATAAGTGCTGTAAAAAATGTTTAGTTATGAGGTACATGGTGAGGTTAAGGCAGAGTCAATATTAATTATATTATATATAGAATTATATTATATCCATATAATTCTCTTTGTAATGAACAGTGAATTTATCAAATAAGCATTAATTCATCTGTTGTATAGAAAGTATCACAGACTGAAGTTTTTGTGTTCCATGACATTAGTAAGGGAGTTCAGAGCTGAGGCAAACATTTTATTTATTTTTTATGGTAACATTTATTTAGGACTTTATTTTATTTTCATTTAAAATTTTTTTTTTTTTTGAGAATTTTTAATACTTATTTTTTAGTTCTCGGCGGACACAACATCCTTGTTGGTATGTGGTGCTGGGGATCGAACCTGGGCCGCACGCATGCCAGGCGAGCGCACTACCGCTTGAGCCACATCCCCAGCCCCATAAAATTTTTATTTTAGTGTGAACACAAGGAACTTTACTGCTGAACTACATTCCTAGTCCTTCTTATTTTTATTTTGAAACAGGTTTCACTAAGTTGCTGAGGCTGGCCTTGAATTTATGATCCTATGCCTCTCCCAAGTCACTGGGATTACAGGCCTGTGTCACCAAGCTCAGCTTTTGTTTTGTTTCGTAGGGGATCAAACTCRGGGCAGTTGCTCTACCACTGAGCTACCTCCCCAGCCCTACATATCTTAATGTTTATCCCAAATAACTAGGTTAAGTGTTCTTCACATATGCTAAATACAGTAGTAGGTACCATCAGGTGTTTGTTTTTTTTTCCAATAAATATTTATGAAGCATTTATTGTATTTTGGATGCTGTTGTAGACAGTAGTGGATTAAAGTCCTAGTCCTTTTAGGGCTTATATTCTATTAGGAGAGACTTAATAACAAGTAAATATATATTAAGGTAGTGTTAAATGCTTTAAAGAAACCTGAAGAATAAGAAAGATGAGAGGCCTTTCTAAGGGAGTAATATTGAGCAGAGACCTGATTGAGAGGTCCAAGAAAGAGTTGTTTAAGGAGAAAAGTAAATACAAATACCCTGAAGTGAGGAATGAGTGGAGCACATTGCAAGGGCTAAAAGAAGATCTGTGTCTTTGGAGTTAAGAAAGTAGAGTGATGGGTAGTGCAATAGAAGGTGAGATTAGTGGAGTCAGTGGGTGATTTTGAGGTTGTCAGGATCTGGTTTATCACATTGCTGTGTCCCCCCATTCCTTTTTAACACTTGTTTTAATTTTTTTCACTTTTTTGGGATACCTGGGATTGAACCCAGGGCCTTAYACATGCTGGATAAGTGCTCTACCACTGAGCTATATCCCAGAGCTTAAATTTGATTTTGAGACATTCTTACCAAGTTGCCCAGGCTGGCCTCAAACTTGTAATCATCCTGTCTTGTCCTCTCAAGTAGTTGGGATTCCTGTTATACTCCACCTCATCTGGCTGTTTGTTTTAATTTTGAGTAATTTGAAGAGGTTTTTGCATTTTTTTCAGTATTTTGTTTACAAAGAAAAGTGTGTGTGTGTGTGTGTGTGTGTGTGTGTGTGTGTGTGTGTGTGTTTTTAATATCAATGAATGGGGATTCCTGAAGGTTGCTATTGACTTTGTGGTAGTATTTTCTACCCAGCTGGTGTTATTGTGGGTTAAGAAAGAAAAATTCATTAGCAGTATCACTTTACCAAGGATAACCCCATTGTTATTTGTAGTGTTTGCATATAAAAATATCAGATTTGCCTAGGAAAATTACTATGAAAATGCTAGTTGGGTGAATAAGCAGGTTTATGTATTGAAATCATCTCAATAGATTTTTAATTTTCACATACCTGAATACTGCCCTTAAGCCATCCTGGCCTTCTTTTCACAGATAAGAAGAAAACAATGATTTTCATGTTTGTATTTTGAGCATTTTGTAAAGTGAATTGCAACATAAGCATTGTATGTAGTTTTTGAAAGTTAATTTTAAATATTTGTGGCTGTTCGTAATTCACTGTTGAAAGTAAATTTTAATGCATTAATTTCTCTTCAATTTTTTTAAGTTGCCCTTCCTTGCAACTATATCAACTATATCAGTTGATACAGTATATCAGTATACTATATCAGTATCGCAAATATATTATTGCTCTCTATGTTCCCATAAAGATTTTCCCTATGAACATGAAACTGTTCTGAGTTTGGGTTTTTTTGTTTGTTTGTCTGTTTACWTTATCCTAGTTTGTCTTAGCTTGAAATTATTACCTGACAAGTTAAAAGTTCTTTAATTCCTAGACAGGATTGGTGCTTAAAAGTAGAAGTTGAATGTCTAGTTTATCATTCCTCAACTTTTTGTTAATGGTTCATGAGCTCAGAGATCTACATTACATGACCATTTTCTTATTGAGAAGTTTTATTATAAAATATCAAGTCCCCAGATGAGATTTTTGAGGAGGGGGAGGTGTTAATGATAAGATAAATTTGGTGACAATATAGATTTTATCTGTGAATAATTATGTTCTTCTGTACTCATTTGCTTACATTAAAAAATGTATCAAGGGCTGGGGTTGTGGCTCAGTGGTAGAGCGCTTTTCTAGCATATGTGAGGCACTGGGTTCGATTCTCAGCACCACATATAAATAAATAATAAAATTAAGGTACTTTGTCTACAACTAAAAAAATATTTTTAAAAAAATGTATTAGGGGCTGGGGATGTGGCTCAAGCRGTAGCGCACTCACCTGGTATGTGCGGGGTGCTGGGTTCGATCCTCAACACCACATAAAAATAAGAAATAAAGATATTGTGTCCACCTAAAACTAAAAAATAAATACTTAAAAAAATGTATCAAATAAGGTCTTAGAAGCATACTTTTGTAAATCCTTAGGTCATAGTCTAAATTTACTTCTTTGGGTTTAGAGAAGGGTCTTAGAATGTCATGTTGCTTGGTATTTTTTGCCCTTGTATTTTCGCTTAATAAAGAAAAAAAAATACTTCTTTAATGGAGATAGAGTTAAGAATACAGTTAATTTTTCTGACCCTTGAGAATAATAACAAAAGCCTTCTCTTTAGTTAACTGATCTTTGACTCCACATTTGAATAAACCATTTCTTCGTCTCCTTATTCTTTCTTTCTAAATGCCTGATGGTATTAGGAAGGCATGGGGTTAGTTTCCTTATGAGCTTTCTTGTCCTTGTTGCCTTTATTCATGCGGAAGGTGCAACAGCTGCTGTGGCTCATGCATTCGTCTTAGTTGCTGCTTTACATAGTCTATATTTTGACTGTGGTTTTATCTTTTTTAATAATAACTAAGTCATCTGTCACTTAACTATAAGTTTATAGTTTTTTCTCCCTCTTTGGATGTATAATAAATTTAGATGTTTTAGTTTAGTTTTGTTTTTGTTAATCTTCACACCAGGTCTCTTCTGTGCTTTAGGTTGACTCTTCACCACACTGAAACCGTTAGGAAAAATCCTTGTGGTTAACAGCAGAGGCTTCAGAGTGTAACCTGTACTCGGGCCTAGAAATTATTTTAAATGGCGACTGATACRTCTCAAGGTGAACTCGTCCATCCTAAGGCACTCCCACTTATAGTAGGAGCTCAGCTGATCCACGCGGACAAGTTAGGTGAGGTAGGGGCTGACGCATTCTTGAAGCTCACTCTTGGATCATTCCCTGACTTCAGGCCTTGCTGGGTTCTTCTTGGTACATGTTCCTTCTCCTATTTTGGAGAGACTAGGTTGTGAATCTGAAAAGATCAATAGATAAAAAAGTTCTTTTCATCTTCCCCTTTCCCTAAAATTCCTGAGAAAACCTCCAAGCTTCAAAATGTATTCCAAATCAATATAATTATTTACATTTGAAGTTCTGTCTAAAATAAAATATTTTGAAGACTTTTTCTTAAAAATCATGTCACTTCAAAAAAACTTTGGTTGGTAATGATTTGCATCAGATCCTGGAGTCGACTTGAAGAATTATCCTACATCTTTTGACGTCCAGTTAGGCCCCTTGAGAAAGAAAAGAGAATATTTTTATACATGTTTGATTATGGCCATCTCTTTTCCTAGAAGGTAGAAGATAGCACCATGCCGATTCGTCGAGCTGTGAATTCTACCCGGGAAACTCCGCCCAAAAGCAAGCTTGCTGAAGGCGAGGAAGAAAAGCCAGGTAAAACAAAGCAGTGGTACAACCTAAAAAGACAAAAAATTTTACTCCAAATTGGAATAATCCATTAATCCCTTTGAACTTAGTTGTTCTTTTTTGTGGCTTAAGTGTTTTGGGKGAACATTCAAAGAGGGAAGCTATAGCTATTTGTATGTGACTTCCAGACTGTGTGGGTAAGATTTTACCTAAAGATTTTTGTCTCTAAAGATTTTTGGAAGATGAAACTGATGCTCTTGGGATTAAAAACAGAAAAACAGGGAGAATAGGATCAGTTAAAGAGCTGCAGTCTGAATATGCTGTGTCATGGAGATAAGACTCTGTGGAGTCATGAAAGACTTGGGGCTTTCAGGATGGACAGAGAAAAATTTATCCAGAAATCATAAGGCCTTAAGGGAAGTAAGTGGATGATCAAAACATTGTGTTTAACTGGTATTTGTGGAGAAGAGATTGGCCAGTCAGAGGTGGGAGCCTAATGAATGGAGACAAGTGTAAATCCATCAGCCTATCCATCAGCCTGGAGTACTAGTGTTCTTTTATGGCGTCATTAACCACTCTGTCTTCTTTTCCCTGCCTTTGTTTTTGCAGTACTAGGGATTGAATCTGGAGGTGCTCCACAATTGAGCTATATCCCAGTCCTTTTATTTTTTTATTTTGAGAAAGGTCTGAGTTGGTGAAACTGACTTCAGATTTGGCAATCCTCCTGCCTCAGCCTCCCAAGTGGCTAGAGTTGTAGGTGTTAGCCACTGTTTTGCCTTTTTCTTTTTTTTCCTTGTCCTTGTGACTTCTTTCTTTGCTTATTCTTTTCCTTTTTTTTTCCCTTTCTCCTTTTATCTCTAGTTTACCAGAGATGAGCACACTGTGCTTCTCTTGTCAGACTGTTAGAAATATATATTTACTGATCAGCCCAGGTTAAAAAAGAAAAGATATGCATCATTATTGCATTTATCCCTTGATACAATAGGGATAAGAGAAAATTTATCCAGAAATCATAAGGCCTTAAGGAAAATAAGAGCCTGGATTTTGTCTCAGAATCCTCAGGAGCACAAGTATAGCACAAGTAATTTGGGCACCCTGGCCTGATACAGTTAGGTAATATGGGAATTGGAACATTAAGAAAGTAATGGGTGCACATGAGTTCAGGATTGGTTATCTGCCCAGCTCTAGGATAAGCTACTAAATCACTAGTAATATCAGTTTTCAGGATCCATGGTAGAGGATTTAGATATGTAAGATATTAGAAGAGTCAGCTAAAAATATGTAAAATAATTGTTACTTCCTAAGTTCTGTATTTGTTAAATTTTTTCCCTGTCAACTTTTTTGTTAAATAGAAATAATTACAGATTACTCATTTTAAATTTTATAAATTAGTTGGATACAGTACCTTTATTTTATTTATTTATTTTTATGTGGTGCTGAAGATGGAACCAGGGCCTTGCACATGCTAGGCAAGCACTCTACTGCTGAGCCACAACCCCAGCCCATTAAGCAGTAATTCTTAAACAATTATAAGCATACCTCAGAGGTGTTGCAGTTTAGTTCATGATGACCTCCATATAGTGAACATGATAAAACAAGTCATACAATTTTGGGGAGTTCCTAGTACATATAAAAATTATATTTATACTATGCTGTATTCTATTAAGTGTGTGTCAGAATTATGTCCAATAATCTATTAAGTATTTTTAAATAAAATAGTACTGCTCAGAATGCTTACAATCATGTGAATGTTCAGGGACTTGTAATCTTTTTTTGCTGCTGGAGAGTGAAGTGTTGATGACCACTGACTGGTGGTTGCTGAAGTTTGGAGTAGATATGGCAATTTCTTATAATAAGATAACAGTGAGATTTGTCAAATTAATTAATTGATTTTCTTTCAGAGAAAAGTTTCTCTGTAGCATTCAGTGCTGATAGCATTTTATTTATTTATCTATTTTTTATATATTTACTTATTTTTTGTGGTGCTGGGGATTGAACCCAGGGCCTTGTGCATGTGAGGCAAGCACTCTACCAACTGAGCTATATCACCAACCTCCTCCCACCCCATCCCTACTGGGCGGTTAACCACTGAGCCATATCCCCAGCACCCCCAACACCTTTTTCTTTTTTTGTGGGGGGATGGGTACTGGGGATTGAACTCAGGGCCACTCAACAACCAAGCCACCTCCACAGCCCTATTTTGAATTTTTACTTAGAGACAGGGTCTCAATGAGTTGCTTAGTGCCTCACTTTTGCTGAGGCTGGCTTGCGATCCTCCTGCCTCAGCCTCTCGAGCTGCTGGGATTACAGGTATGCGCCACCACACCCAGCTTCCTAGCATTTTTTAATTTAAGAGAGAGAGAATTTTTTAATATTTATTTTTCGGTTTTCGGTGGACACAACATCTTTATTTTATTTTTATGTGGTGCTGAGGATCGAACCCAGTGCCCCGCACATGCCAGATGAGTGCGTTACTGCTTGAGCCACACCCCCAGCCCCGTCATTTGATCTTTTTTGTTTTATTTATCTATTTATATGCTGGGCTGAGGATTGAACCCAGGGCATCACACATGCCAGGCAAGTATTCTACCTCTAAGCCACAACTCCAGCCCCCACCCCAAGCCCTTTTTTAAAAAAATATTTTACTTAAGAGACAGGGTTTTGCCAAGTTGCTTAGGGTCTTGCCAAGTTGCTGAGGCTGGCTTTGAACTCACCATCCTCCCGAGCCACTGGGATTACAGGCGTGTGCCACTGTGTCCAGCAGCATTTTCATTTTGAATAGAGCTTCTTTCAAAATAGGAGTTAGTCCTCTCAAACCCTGATGTTTTATCAATTAAGATTTTAAAAAAATATTTATTTAATATTTGTTTTTTAGTTTTAGGTGGACACAATATCTTTATTTTATATTTATGTGGTGCTGAGGAACCCAGTGCCTCATGCATACTAGGTGAGCACTCTACCACTGAGCCACAACCCCAGCCCTGTCAATTAAGTTAATGTAACATTCTAAATCTTTTGTTGTCATTTTAACAAATTTGCAGCATTTTCACCTGGAATAGATAGTAATACCTCAAGAAGCCATTCCTCATCCATTCAATTTTTTTCATAAGTTTTCACATCTTTAGACTCCCTTTGTGATTTTASTTCTCTGCTGTTTCTACCACTTCTGTAGTTACTTCTTCCACTGATATTTTGAACCCTGCAAAGTCATCCATGAGGGTTGAAATCAACTTCTCTCAAACTGTTGATATTTTTACTTTCTCCCATGAATCACAGATGTTTTTACTGGCATCTAAAACGGTGAATCTTTTCCAGAAGTTTTTCAATTTACTCCACCCAGATCCATCAGAGAAATCATTATCCATGGCAGCTGTGGCCTTACAAAATGTATTTCTTAAATAATAAGACTTGAAGGTTGAAATTACTCCTTGATCTGTGAGCAAGGAGGCTGTTTTGCTTTCTTAGCATGCATGTGTTCACTGGGATAGCAATTTTAATTTCCTTCAAGAATTTTTCCTTTGCATTCATTTATTTTTATGTCGTGCTAAGGATCRAACCCAGGGCTAAAAAACTTGGCTACTATTTGTCATGGAAGTCTTAGCTTTTGGTCTCTTTGAGCTTGCAATATGCATACCTAGTAAGCTTAATCATTTCTGGTTTTGCCTTAAAAGGAGAGATATGCACTTCTTTTCACTGGAACACTTAGTGGTCATTATAGGGATATTGAGTACCTAATTTCAACATTGTGTCTCCAGGAATAGGGAGCCCTGAGGAGGGAGAGAAAGACAGAAACAATTGTTTCAGGAGAGTAGTTAGAACACACATTTATCAGTTAAATTGACTGTCTTTTATGTACATGTTTTGTGACAGGCAAAATGATTACAGTAGTAGCATCAAAGATCACAGATCACTGTAACAGATATAATACTTTTTTTTAAAGTTTAAAAGCATATGATGCTGGAAGAAATGACATCAGTAGATTTACTCAGTTTAGGGCTGCTATAAAGCTTCAGTTTATTAAAAACAATAACAGTATTATCCGCAAAGTACAATAAAAATGAAACCCAAAAGAGATATGCCTTGTTTTGTTTTGTTTTGGTGCTGGGGATTGAACTCGAGAGTCTCATACATGCAGAAAATAATGTAAAATTAAACTATTTCAGGAAAACCCAGTAAATGGTCCTTAGCATTTCATCTTTTTTAGAATAAGGCAATATGTAAAGAAACACGCTTAACTTATAGAAAGTTCTTACCTGTGCACCAGTTAGGTTAAATTGTTGAGGTGAGGGGGCAGTTCGAGATAATGTCAAAAAATAGTACATCTTATTGTGGAGATCTTAAATACAGTTATTACCTGTATCTCCTGTGATACCATTGTTATAATGAAGGTCTACCCTTATACTTTGTGATCCTAGATATATAGGAAAGAGTTGTGGGACCATTGTAGACCAAAGTAGGACAGGAATCATTAACTCAGTACAAGTCTTGACCTAATGATTCACCCTGAAGCATTTACAAAATCCTCATAACTGTGAGGTAAAGATACTGAGACTCAGAGATGTTAAAGAAGTTGCCCTAAGATTATTGAGCTGGAAAGTTCTAAAGAGTGAACTTGATATTGTGGATGAAACAAAATTGCTAATCTGCCATGACCTCTTAGGAAGTTGTTGTTTTGTGAAATACTGTACCTATGCTTCATCTAAATCCAAGTGGAGTATGCTTTGGTGTATTTATAAATGATGGATTCAGTTTCTGAAATTAAGCTTTTTATTTGCAATTTTTAAAAAAGACTGAACTTGAATCTAGTTGTATCTTAACCTAAAAATCTTCAGTTTTGCCCAAGCCCCATAAGTGAAGAGTTTGGACTAGATTAGTCTGTGGAAGCCTGGGACAGGAATTGCAGTTAATAACTAACTAGTCTGAAATTTGTGGTTTAGAATTTTAATTTGTTGAGAAACTGAATTCTTTTGCAATTATGATTTCTTTTGTAAGAAAGAAATGGTATTCTTCTATTCTCTTAATGTGAAGGCCACAAATAGTTTTCATCATTATTCTGGTAATTAGTTTACATAATTTAAATGCTCAAACTCTTCAAGCATATACTTTTATTCTTTGCCTGATTTTTGCCACTTGAGTTCTTTGAAGTCCCTGCATAAGCGTGCYTGCAGTTCTGTTTTATGGTAGCTGCTGAAAGAAACATGCTGTGAAGAACAGACACAAACAACAGATCTCATTGTCTCCAGCCCTTTGTATTTCTACTCGTTCTCCTCATTCCACCTGGAAAAGACATATTTTCAATTCTCTAAGATTTGCCTGTTAAATTAAAAAAGACTAAGTTTCTTAATTATGGGTATCATTGATATTGCAGAATAATCAAAAGATTTAGGTATATGTGTAGTTTCCTGGCCTTTTCTTACATAATTGTCTGGATAAATACTTGAACAGATAGTCCTACTGACAGAATGAGAGAGGGCTGGAGGTGTAGCTCAGTGGTAAAGGTGAGGCCCTAGGTTCAGTCCTCAGCACCGTGGTGGTGGGAGAAAAAGAAAATTCTACTCAGAATTATTTCTTCGTAATTTAGAATTCATCTGCTAACTGGAACATTTGGCTGGTCTGTTTAATTTATTCTTTTATTGCCTTAACTCCAATGTATCTGATTTTTTTTTTTTTTTTAGAACCAGATGTAAGTTCAGAGGAATCTGTCTCCACTGTAGAAGAACAAGAGAATGAAACTCCACCTGCTACATCTAGTGAGACAGAACAACCCAAAGGGGAACCTGAGAATGAAGAGAAGGAAGAAAACAAGTCTTCTGAGGAAACCAAAAAGGAGTAAGGAGTAGACGTTATTTTTACTTACAATTGGAGATTACATAAAAGGACTGCCGRTCAGAAGTATTACAACATTGGTTTTTGCTAGGTGTTTGCTTTTGGGACTTTTTAGAATTATTTGAAATAGTTTTATTATGTAGTTATATGGCTTATTAGAGTATATAGTAGTAGAACAGTTAGAGTAATCCAGCTGTCTTTACTTTTGGCTTTGTGGTGTTTTTATTTTTAGAATTCACTGTGGGAATTTCTTATACTTTAAGCATTGTCAAAAATCTCAATAAAAAATGAAACATAGTTGTAAAAATCTGACCTGGAAGATATTTAATTGTTTAATTCCTACTTTACTGCCAGGAGTGTATTGTTTCCTGTGCTTCTCTTATAGTAAACATCTGTCAAACCTTGCTAGAGTGACCTAAAACTGTATGCTTGGAGACATTTTCTTTTTATTTATTTATTCTAATTAGGTATATATGACAGCAGAATGTGTTTTGATTCATTGTACATAATTGCAGTACAACTTTTCATTTCTCTGGTTGCAGGTGAGGTTGTACACTATGATGTAGCATTGTACCATGTGTGCTGTCATACATGTATCTTTCCTGCCCCCAGGCCCCCTTTCCTTCCCTTCTTCCCCTTTGCCCAATCACAGTTAATGACATTTTCAATTGGCAGTAATATTAAACATTTGAAAGCAAAATTTGCAATTGATGATTTGTATCTATAGGAGATAGTAGCAATTGTTTTTTAATTTTATTATTGTTTTCGTTTTTTTGCAGGATAACTGGTATTATTCTTTCAGTAGGTGGCCAGGATGGTTAGAGATTACTTTTTAAATAAAATAGCAATAACTGTACTTTCTAGGTGTGGTATAATCCTGAGGGAATTCTTTATTCTGTTTTCGTGTTTATAAGTAGCTATCCTTATTTTTAAATGTGAATGAAATACTGTTGTTATTATTTAGAATAAAATTTACATAATGCAAATTGTTTTGATAAACATAATCTCTAATTCTTACAATACCTTGAATGTCTTACTGTTTCATAGCTGAGGTGACTTAGCCATCACTATATAAGATCATATAGCTAATTCTACAGAGTGTTCTAGCTAAAACTCCAACCTAGTTTTCTGCCTTCTGAGTTTGTGTTCTTTCTGTCATATGATATGTATGTATTGTAGTGGTAACTAGTATACATTTTTAAATTTATATATATATATATATATATATGTGTGTATATATGTATTTTACTGTACTGGTCCTTTATACCAGTGATAACTTATTGGATTCCTCTTTTGCACCTAAGAGAAAACATCTTTTTAGTTCATTTATAGCACCCAGTGTTATTAAAAAAGTAATATTTTATAAATTTTTCCTTATTGTACATATTAACTTGGTGCATAAAAAAGTGAAAACATTTCTTTTTATACTTCTCTAGTCTTTTCCCTTTTCTGACTTTATGGTTGTCCATCCAAGGAGGATTGTTTTCAGGGATTCTACAGATAACCAAAATCCTGAAATGTTCATGTCCCTTAATGAAAATAGCATAGTACTTGCATGTAATTTAGGTACCTCCTTCTATATACTTGAAATCATCTCTAAGATTATTTATAATACATAATACAATGTAAAAGTTTTGTAAACCACTGTTCTGTATCGTTTAGGGAATAATGACAAGTGTTCAGTACAGATGGGATTTTTTTTCAAATATTTTCAGTCCTTGGGTACAGAACTCAAAAATGTGAGACCCACAGATGCAAAGTGTCAACTGTATCTTTATGAAGAGCTTGTCTTGCATAATAACATTTGTTGTTGTTGTTGTTTTGTTTTAAAGTGAGAAAGATCAGTCTAAAGAAAAGGAGAAGAAAGTGAAAAAAACAATACCTTCCTGGGCTACCCTTTCTGCTAGCCAGCTAGCCAGGGCCCAGAAACAAACACCTATGGCTTCCTCCCCACGCCCCAAGATGGATGCAATTCTGACTGAAGCCATTAAGGCAAGTTTTTATTTAAAACAATTATCTTGGATTTATCCTGTTCATCTTTTGCTTATTTGAAAATGGCATACTCTATCCATACATTGTTTTGCTTCCTAAAGGAATAATTAAAAAGCCATGTTGAAGATCAAGTTTTTTAGTATAATCTCATTTGGTGAGTGATGTTCTTTTTAAAAATTCATATTTATTGTAACAATTAATTTTAAACTTTAGAAGTTTTTTTTTTACTCAGATTATTAAGTAGTTTTTATTTGWTGGCTGAAAATGTTAATTCATTCAACAAACATGTAAGGATTATCTTCTCTGAGTCAAGCAACTCTGCTAATGATACAGCAAAAGACATAGGTCAGRTCCTTTCCCTCATAAAATCTGATTGTAACTAAGGAAATAATTCTGTTTATGTGTGTGAGTTACTGGGGCTCAAACCCAAGGCTCTGTGCATGTTAGGCAAAGTGCTCTACCACTGATCCACATCCCCAGCCTAACATTATTAAAAATACATATTGCAAGTCAGATATTCATAGCAGTTATCTTTCACATCTGAATTAAGACACCCTCTTATAAGCCTACATTTTGTTTCATTACCTAAACATTACAAAATATTGCAGAATTATCCTCCTTACCTAGCTTATGACTTTGCCTATAACTCATTGCCTTTCTTTAGCTTATTTTTAATATTTTAATGATATTTTCTTATCTGATGCTGTATTGTGTAAATCTGTATAATTTTGTATTATTTCACATGATCAAACCATAAGAGGAGTTAAAAACAGACCATTTTTTAACTCCTCCATAAGAGAAGTTAAAAACAAAACCTCATTTCAGGGACCATGTTGCTGGAGTCTGGGTAAGGATTGGGGAAAGAGGSATTCAGATCATTTTAACCAAGGGTGGTGTACATAGGAAGGAGCAGTCAGGTTATCATCTGAGAATGAACTGAGAAGGGAGATCCTCAGACCTCTTTCTTCTTTCCTTAAGGTTTTTTAGGCTCTCACCTCCTTAAGAAAACTAACTTTTTTTTTTTTTAATAAGACACAACAGTCGTTGCTTTTTTTTTTTTTTTAAGAGAGAGAGGATTTTTTAATGTTTATTTTTTTTCTTTTTCTTTTTTTATTGGATGTTCAAAACATTACATAGTTCTTGATATATCAATGCAATTTCCCTTCTCTCTCCCTTTCCCTCCCACCTCTCATCCCTGTTTAATGTTAGTCTTCTTCTCCTGCTCTTCTTCCCTACTCTGTTCTTAGTTACTCTCCTTATATCAAAGAAGACATTTGGCATTTGTTTTTTAGGGATTGGCTAGCTTCACTTAGCATAATCTGCTCTAATGCCATCCATTTCCCTCCAAATTCTATGATTTTGTCATTTTTTAATGCAGAGTAATACTCCATTGTGTATAAATGCCACATTTTTTTTATCCATTCGTCTATTGAAGGGCATCTAGGTTGCTTCCACAGTCTTGCTATTGTGAATTGTGCTGCTATGAACATCGATGTAGCAGTGTCCCTGTAGCATGCTCTTTTTAGGTCTTTAGGGAATAGACCCAGAAGGGGAATAGCTGGGTCAAATGGTGGTTCCATTCCCAGCTTTCCAAGAAATCTCCACACTGCTTTCCAAATTGGCCGAACCAATTTGCAGTCCCACCAGCAATGTACAAGTGTACCCTTATCCCCACATTCTCGCCAGCACTTGTTGTTGTTTGACTTCATAATGGCTGCCAATCTTACTGGAGTGAGATGGTATCTTAGGGTGGCTTTGATTTGCATTTCTCTGTCTGCTAGAGATGGTGAGCATTTTTTCATGTACTTGTTGATTGATTGTATGTCCTCCTCTGAGAAGTGTCTGTTCAGGTCCTTGGCCCATTTGTTGATTGGGTTATTTGTTATCTTATTGTCTAATTTTTTGAGTTCTTTATATACTCTGGATATTAGGGCTCTATCTGAAGTGTGAGGAGTAAAGATTTGTTCCCATGATGTAGGCTCCCTATTTACCTCTCTTATTGTTTCTTTTGCTGAGAAAAAACTTTTTAGTTTGAGTAAGTCCCATTTGTTGATTCTAGATATTAACTCTTGTGCTATGGGTGTCCTATTGAGGAATTTGGAGCCCGACCCCACAGTATGTAGGTCGTAGCCAACTTTTTCTTCTATCAGATGCCGTGTCTCTGATTTGATATCAAGCTCCTTGATCCATTTTGAGTTAACTTTTGTGCATGGYGAGAGAAAGGGATTCAGTTTCATTTTGTTGCATATGGATTTCCAGTTTTCCCAGCACCATTTGTTGAAGATGCTATCCTTCCTCCATTGCATGCTTTTAGCCCCTTTATCAAATATAAGAAAGTTGTAGTTTTGTGGGTTGGTATCTGTGTCCTCTATTCTGTACCATTAGYTTTCGATGGACACAACACCTTTGTTTGTATGTGGTGCTGAGGATCGAACCCGGGCCGCACGCATGCCAAGCGAGCGTGCTACCGCTTGAGCCACATCCCCAGCCCAAGAAAACTTTCTTGAAGCCAGACAGTGGTGTTACCTGTACTTGCACCTACTCCAGAGGCTGAAGCAGGAGGATCACTCAAGCCCAGGACTGAGTTTGAGGCCACCCTGGGCAACATAGAGAGATCCTGTCTTACAGAAAAAGAGGGAGAARCTTCCTTGGTTTAGAGAGCTTGACTGTAGTAAGGTCTTTATTCTTTGTGTAGCCTCTCCTCAGGAATTTTATTTCATGACCACTCAGCCTGGGTTTGAAGGAGCAGTTATTTCAAGCATGAAGAAGGGGACTAGGGCTGGGGTTGTGGTTCGCTGGTTAGAGGGCTTGCCTAGCATGTGCGAAGCCCTGGGTTCAATCCTCAGCACCACATAAAAATAAAATAAAGGTATTGTGTCCAACTACAACTAAATAAACAAAATATTTAAAAAAAGAAGAAGAAGAAGAAGAAGGGACTAAAATTTTAAAACAAAAAATTAAGAGCATTAGGTTAAGGCTGGGGTTGTGGGTTTTTTTGTGTGCTTTTTTCTGTTGACATTCATAGAATGCCTGCAAAGGTATATTGGTTCTGATGTGCCAAAACTCATTCCTAAAAATTGCTAAGACATGTTTTCCTATAAATAATAAAAATATTTGACTTTCTTCATTTTGCCRGGGAGGGAGCGTGTTACCAGGGATTGAACTCAGGGGCACTCAACCACTGAGCCACATCCCTAGGCCTATTTTTGTATTATATGAGAGACAGGATCTGGGTTGCTTAGCCCCTTACCAAATTGCTGAGGCTGGCTCTGAACTCGCAATCCTCCTGCCTTAGCCTCCAGAGCTGCTGGGATTACAGGCATGCATCACCAACTTTCCTCATTTTAATACTAAAGATCTATCTTCTCAATACAAAACACAATTAAAATAGAGTATTTATTAATATACAGACTGTTGTTCATGTGTTTCTGAACAAGTTAAAATTGTTGCAAAAATATGTAATAATTATGTATTTCTCCACAGCCATTATGAACTGAAGTTATCTGTTCATTCTTCCCTACCTTACTTACCATCTGTTATCAAGTTTAYTTCCAAAATAATTTTGAAAGTATGTGTCAAGTTCTTTAATAAAAATAACTAGTTTAAAGTAATGTATGTGGTTTCATAAATCTGTTTTCTAGGCATGCTTCCAGAAGAGTGGTGCATCAGTGGTTGCTATTCGAAAATATATCATCCATAAGTATCCTTCTCTGGAGCTGGAGAGAAGGGGCTACCTCCTTAAACAAGCCCTAAAAAGAGAATTGAATAGAGGAGTCATCAAACAGGTATTGTCGGAAATAAGAATATTTGGGTTGGGGGTGTGGCRTAGTACACCTAGTATCTATGAATCTCTGGATTTGATTCCTGTTATCAAATAAACAAAAGGAATAAGAATATCTTGTGTGTACTATGAATCAAAATGCATTTTGCTGTCATATATACCYAATTTAAAAAAATTAAAAAAAAATATCTTGTGTATCAGCTATGCTATGTTGTTCATATTTAGTATCATTTAGGATCTTTATGTTCTTTTGTGTTAAAAATAAGTTGCAAGATGTTAATACTTAAGCTTAACCTAATTTTAGTATTTAAGATTAGGCTTGAAAAACACATTGCCAGTTGCTTTTATAATTAACTATCCTTCTGAAGAGCAGAAGAAATAAGGTAGTATAATTTTTATTTTCCTTACTTAGTTGGATTATTTTGGAGACTGCTCGTGCTAGAAATCACATAGCAATGAAAATGCAAAGTAGGTTAAGGAAGCCTGTTATTGCAGTAGCAAAGAGGACAGTTGCTCTTATCTTGGGTTTGTTAGCTTTGAAACCTAATTTATTTGATTAGACTTTTTATTTATAAATTAGCTTTGTAAATAGGTTCATCTTAATTGGTTAATACTTAAAACTATCAAAGACTGTTAGAACCAGGGAAACCTGAGTTAATTGAGACCAGTTCTAGAACCAATACTGATTCCAAGTATAGTCTATGTTATCTTGCACAGTTATTAAGAATTGCTTAGAATCATAGCCATGACATATTGAGTGTCTCCTGTGTGTCTGGTGCTTATGGGTTCATCAGTGTACMGAGGATTGAACTCAGGATTGCTTAACCACTGAGCCACGTTCCCAGCCCTTTTTTGTATTTCATTTCAAGACAGGGTCTTGCTGAGTTACTTAGGGCCTCTCTAAGTTGCTGAGTTGGCTTTAAACTCAGGATCCTCTTGTCTCAGCCTCCTGAGATGCTGGGCTTATAGGCATGTGCCACCCAGTGAAGAGAACATATCTTGCTGTGTGACACTTAGAGTCTGGCTTTCTCAAAATATGTAAAATTGCCCGCACAGTGGAGTTAAGGTCTGTACGATTTTTGATTATTGTGAATCAGCTTTAAAGTTGTATGAAAGTAAGTGCTTTGTAATATATGATAAGACTTAAACATACAATCCTGTGCAATATTTATCAGATTATTAACCTTTTGCAAAAGGAATAATCTGCAATTAGTAAACCATGGTGAAGCATTGCAGCCTGAGACCAATGGGGGCCTAAACTTGCCAAGGAGCTGTTTTCTTCCAAGACAGCAAGGGGTTTTCTCATTTCTTTTCTTTTTTTTTTTTTTTTAATTATCCTGAGAGATTTTTGTTCCTTCCTTTCATGGGATAAATTTTATGTTTTGTTTTATGAAAGCTGATAGTAGATTATTTAACCCAGTTTCACAATAGCGATCTTCACCAGTTTTGTATTTGTGGAAACAAAAGTTCAGAGGTTTGAGTGGATTGTCCAATTTTGAATAACTAGATGGTACCATAGCTAAGATTTCATCCCAAGTCTTTTGACTCCTCTTCTATTGTTCTTTTGTCTCTGAAGAGCAAAATAACACTTCTTGCATCATGCTTTATAATTCTTTTATTCTAGTATAAAGTTACAAATATTAGAATAATTTAAAATAAAAATTATTTTACTTCAGGTAAAAGGAAAAGGTGCATCTGGAAGTTTTGTTGTGGTCCAAAAAGCAAGAAAAATGCCTCAGAAATCTAGAAACGCAAAAGTAAGTCAGTATCAGAGTTTGACCACTGAAATACTATTACTACTCCTAAAAATAGCAGCATATATTGAGTGTTTACTATGTGTTGTTTTTTCTACCAAGACTRCTAAGGCCGAGAAAGATGATGAGTAATTGCCTAGCTAGTAAGTAGAATAACCAGGGTGCAAATCCAAGCACTCTAGCCCAGTTAAGCCCATGGTCTTAAATGCCTTACATTGAATTATGGGCAGTTGTATGAATTATATAACCTTTCATGAGTTTTTTTTTTTAAGTAGAGGAGGTATGAAAGTATATTTTTGCCCAATAGTAGATCTAAAAACTATATTCAAAGCCAATTTTCTTTTCTTTGTAAATACTAACACTCCCCCAAGACATAATAATTTTACTTATGTAAAATATTTCTGCAATAATAAAGGGAAATGCCTAATATTCCATCTATGTCAATACTTAGAATCATGAAAATTCCCCTGTATCTTTTTCACAACTCTGAATGTTTTTCTTTTTCTTGCCTTCTTCTTTTTTTTTTTTTTAATAAAACTAACACTTTGAAAAGAAACTTTTGTGTGCTTTCTGCCACTACACTTCATTCACCCTTTGTTATTGAAGGCTGATAATGAATTAAGATCTTTAAATATATTATTCCCACTTTTAACTCTCAATATAAAGTTTTTATTGGGAAGAAATGGCACACAAGTGAATTTAACTCCAGTGTGGTATGATTTACTTGAATGTGGGAAAAAAGTGATTATTTTCTATTTGCTAGTTGAATTGGCAGTCAACTGAGGAAAGCACTTGAGTTGTATATAGAAGTATATGAACTCTGAAAGCTTTATATTCTGTAATGATCATAATTTTTGTTATTGCATTTCAGAAGAGGAGCTCTGTGATAGATCCAGAACCACAAGTAAAACTGGAGGATGTCCTCCCACTGGCCTTTACTCGCCTCTGTGAACCTAAAGAAGCTTCCTACAGTCTCATCAGGAAATATGTTTCTCAGTATTATCCTAAGCTTAGAGTGGACATCAGGTATTAGCCATTGATTTAAATCATGATTTCATGAGAAAGGAGACAAATTAAATATTCAGGAAGGAATACTTTTTAATATATATATTTTTTAATTATTAGAGCTATGTTATACATAGTGGGATTCATCCTGACAAACTCATGCATGTATAGAAATCAATTTCAGGAAGGATGGATTACTTTTAGCTGAGCTTTGCAGTTTTTTTTTTTTTTTTTTTTTTTTTAGGGTCCCTCTCCCATTGTGTTTTCTTTTCCATATCACCTTATATAGTTTTTTGAAATTTAAGCCACTTTTTTTTTTTTTGTAAAGGAATTGAACCCAGAGACGCTGAACCTCTAAGCCACATCCCTAGCCCTTTTTAAAAATATTTTATTTAGAGATAGGGGCTTGCTGCGTTGCTGAGGCAAGCTTTGAACTGGCAATCCTCCTGTGAAATAGCCTTCTGAGCTGCTGGGATTACAGGCATGCGCTACCATTCTTTTATAAGATCCTGATAGAATATAGGTGTCCTTCCGTATTTATGGGGGATTGGTTTCAGGACCCCCCTTGATACTGTGCTCTACAAATTCTGAAGTTTTTTAGTAAATGGTGTAGTATTTGCATATAGCCACATGTATCCTTCTGCATACATTAAATCATCACTAGATTATTTATATAATGTAAACATTATGTAAATCATTTTCATACTGCATGGTTTAAGAAATAATGGCAAGAAACAGTTTGTGCACAAAGACACATTTTTCCCCTGAATATTTTTTTTTTTTAAGGCTATGAACTTTTTTTCTTTTTAAATTTTTTAATGTTATTTATTTACTATTTTTATGTGGTTCTGAGGATTGAACCCAGTGCCTCACACATGCCAGGCCGAAGCACTCTTCCACTGAGCCACAACATATTTATATCAGACCCCTAAATATTTCTGATCTGCTATTGGTTGAAGCCCCTCCCTGTTACAGAACCTTGTGGATACAGGGGTCTGACTGTAACTGTTTACCTGTCAGCTATATATACTCTTTTTTTCTTTAATATTTTGTTTTAGTTGTACTTGCACATGATACCTTTATTATATTTTTATGTGGTGTTGAGGATCGAACCTAATGCCCCACATGTGACAGGCGAGTGCTCTGCCACTGAGCCACAACCCCAGTCCCCATATATACTCTTAGATACTCATTTTTCATTTAGATTTATTATAGAGCATGAGAGAATTCAGGCTTCAATAAAATTTAGCTCCAACCTGGGCACAGTGACTCACACCTGTAATCCTACCTATAATCCCTGCTACTTGAGAGACTGTGGCAGTAGGATCACAAATTCAAGATCATCCTCAACAACTTAGTGAGACCCTATCTCAAAATAAAATATGGCTGGGGATGTAGCTCAGTGGTAGAGCATTTCTGGGTTCAATCCTCAATTTTGCAAAAATAAGTTAAAACTTAGCTCTATTCACAAGTAGCATATCTTCATTTTAAAAACATTGAAAGAATTTTGATAATTTTTATCATCTGGAATGATCATTTAGATTATCAGATTTGCTCAGTTGTGGATTCATGCAGACATTAATTTGTTTAAATTTGTGATTCTCAGAATGTGAGTTTTAAGTGTGTTTGTAGAACATCTTTGTTGTGATGATCTTTGGAAGACTGGTTATTTAATTCAGAGTCATTCTACAGAAGGTTATTTTACTGAATGTGTATCCTTCTGATACATTTTAGTCCAGTATTTACTTGGGTTACTTGGGTTAATGAGGTTTCAGTTCGGAAGCCATGTTTTCAGAAAATCCATTTTTGATCTTGAAACTACTCAACATAAGTGTTAGTGAAATAGTGAAAAAGAAAAGGACATCATAAGGTCAGAAAATATGATTTTAATAACTTGACATTCATGCGTCTTTATGCTATGAAATATGGTTAGGCAGATACAACTGTGGATCAGAAATGCATTGTATAGGGCTGGGGATGTGGCTCAAGCGGTAGTGCACTCGCCTGGCATGCGTGCGGCCCAGGTTCGATCCTCAGCACCACATACCAACAAAGATGTTGTCTCCGCCGAGAACTAAAAAATAAATATTAAAAATTCTCTCTCTCTCTCTCTCTCTCTCTCTCCTCTCTCACTCTCTCTTTAAAAAAAAAAAATGCATTGTATAATGCATTTAAAGATGGAAACACATTTCACTTTTATTTCCCTTGTTCTCTATTTTTTAGTGACTGGAAACCATATTCTCCCCCAGTAATATTTTTTTGTTTCATTTTTTTTTCCTTTCCTAGGTTTCTACTCTATTTACATAAGAATGTGTGTTGCTCTCAGTGTGATTGTACTCCATGTCTGTAATCTTTTGAAACATTTTTTTGGCATCATCTTATTGAAACAAACTTTGCCTGATAATAATGGTTTGTTTACTCAAAGATGCCAGTGAACCTGAAGACCTTTATCCATGACCTCCCCTGCCCCCATCCCCATAGATAATTCTAGGAATTGAACCTATGGTTGCCTAACCAATGAGCGACATCCCCAGCCCTTTTATTAAGTTTGAGGTGAGATATATATATATATATATATATATATATATATATATATTTATATAGATGTATTTTCATTTATTTATTTATTTACTTACTTTTGTTGTCAGTGGACCTTTATTTATTTATATGGGTGCTGAGAATAGAGCCTGGTGCCTCATACATGCTAAACAAGTGCTCTTACAACTGAGCTACAACCCCAGCCCTTCATTAATAATCTTTTTCTCCACATTTTTTATTTTTGCATTATACTTGTATATAATGATGGGATTTGTTGTTACGTATTTGTTAAGGTACTCATAATCCATGACTTTTTTATTGGTAGCTTTTTCTTTTGATACATTTTTTCCCTCTTCTGTGAAATCATTGATTTTCTCTACTCTGATCACAGTGGAGTCCTGTCATACATTTTGAAAATGGAGCCCCACTTCCTTGGCCAAACAAAAGAACAATTAAAATGTTTCAAAAATATGAATTGTTGGGCTGGGCTATAGCTCTCTGCCTGGCATGTGTGAGGCACTGGGTTTGAGCCTCAGCACCACGTAAAATAAATAAAGATATTGTGTCTGTCTACAACTAAAAATACATATATATTTTAGAAATTATGAATTGTGGTGTAGCTCAGGGGTACAGTGCTTGCCCAGCATGGGCAATCCCTGAATTTTATCCTAGCACTGCAAAAAAAARAAAAAAGAAAAAAAGAAATTACCTATGCTATTTATATTTACTCCCCTCCTACTTTCTCAAACCCACTTTTTTTATTTTTTTGAGTGGGGACTAGGATACTGAGGATTAAACCCCAGGGATACTTAATCACCAACCCCTATTCCTAACCTTTTTATTTTTTATTTTTGAGATAGGATCTTGCTAAGTTACTGATGCTGGCTTTGTACTTATGATTCTCCTGCCTCAGCCTCCCAAGTTTCTGGAATTACAAAGCATGCACCACCTCACTGAGCATATAAACCTACTTTTGTCACACTTCATCCCCATGTTTTACTACTCTTTACTCTTGGCGTCACAGTCTCTTCCACATTGCAAATTTCTTAGCCTTAAGTTGCTGCCCTCTCACCAGCATTTAACATACTTGATTCCTCACTGCTTAAAACATTTCTTCACTTGCCCTCCAGGGTATGACACCTTCTTGATGTCTTTTTTTTTTTTTTTTTTTAATATTTTTTAGTTGTAGATGGACACAATACCTTTATTTATTTATCTTTATGTGGTGCTGAGGATCAAACCCAGGCCCTTCTTGATGTCTTACTGAAGCCTTACTACTCCTCTTTTCAACCTTTTAAGGATTTCATTGACCCTTTAATATAAATAACCCCCTGTATTACACCTTAGGCCTCTGGTCTTTTCTGTACATACTCACCAGTAATTGTTTCCATTTGCAAACCTTCAAATACTACCTGTACACACACATTAATTCACAAATGTGTTAAATATAATCCACACCTCCCTTTTAACTCCATATTCAAATGTATAGATACTGTTCAACATCACCACCAGGATGTTTAACTTAAGTATCCAAAACTGAACTCTTGATTATCCTCCCCAACTCCAGCAAAACAAGCCCTGCATTCTTCCACATCATCTTACTTTAGTTAATAGCAGCAGCATCTTTCCAGTTGTAGAAACTTTGTGCTGATCTCTTCTCTTTTTCTATGTCATCTGTAAGCAATTATTTGGCTTTGTCTTTAAAAGATATCATTAAAGCTGGGCATGGTGGAGCACACCTATAATCCCAACAACTTAAGCTCTAAGCAACTTAGCTAGACCCTGTCTTAAAAAAGGGCTGGGGATGAGGCTCAGTGGTTAAGAGCCCTTGATTAAATCCTTGATACCAAAAATAAAGTATTGTTGAACAGACTACTTCTCATCACCTTCACCATGAATCTCTCCCAGGCTAATACCATCTCCTATCTGTATTAGAACACATAACCTCCTGCTATTTTTTCCAAGGCCCCCTTCAGTCTATTCTTTGTTTTTTTAAATACCTTTAATTTTATTTATTTTTCCGTGGTGTTAAGGATCGAACCCAGGGCCTTGCATGTGCTAGGCGAGCACTCTGCTGCTGAGCCACAACCTCAGCCCACCCCCTTCAGTCTATTCTTAACATCGCCAGCCAAAGTGAGACTTTAAAATGTACSATCATGTCACCTTCCTAACTCAAACCCCCCATTGGCTTCCCAGCCCCCTCATAGTTAAAGAAAGAGTTGTCGTTTTTTAATTTTAACATTTTATTTTATGTAAAAGGGGGCAAATTTAGTGAATTATTTGGTCTTGTACACAAAATTATAATTTTAATGCTTTTCACATCCATGCTGAAAATTTGCAATTTGGTTAAAATGAAAGGAACACACATTTCTCCAAAGGAATTTTTCATACCATTATATACATTTCATGAGAAAGTTTCAAATACTTTTTAATGATCACAAGTTACCAGAAAATAAAAGATTAAATTTGTGCAGATATTGATCTATATATCAGATACATACAGAAATGATGTAAAAACCTATGCAGTTTACTTTGATCTCTATTCTCAAAAGATTTGCCTAGGGACAGATGCTTTTCTTTTGTATAAATGACTGTGGCTTTATTTAAAATATGAAAATCAAAGGAAGAAACCCAGTTTAACCTCAGTATTTTTAAAATCCCTTCCCAACATCAAAGAATCATTATCAAATATGTAGCACCATAATGCACATGTTGTTGGGAGAGGTTATTCACATCACACAAAATTAGTAATAATAATAAAAAAGCAAGAGTCTTTAAAACAGCCCATAAGACATTACATGTCCATTCCATCTCTGACCTCAATTACTGCTCTTTTGTCTTTTACTGGCCTCATAGACTACATTTGCTGTTTCCTTTGCCTGAAAGGTTTTCCCTTCTTAATCTACTTTGCTGTTTTTTTCCAAGGCCCCCTTCAGTCTATTCTTTTATTATTATTATTTATTTCATTAATAATGGCTTTACATCAGGTTTTTACTCAAAGGCCATCACCACAGACCTGTCTTGACTGCTTTATTATTATTCCAAGTTGTAGGTGAGTGCCTTCTCATTGTGTTGTCACATGGTAGAAAAAGGCTTTTCTACTTTATAAACATTCAATTTTGAACATTTTCAGAATACATGCAAAAATAAAGAACTATCATACTAATATCATTCCTAACAAAACTAATAATTGCCTAAAATCTAATATCAGTCCAAGTTCACATGACCCAGTTGTCTCCAATGTGACCTTTTACACTTGTGCTTCAAGTTTTTAGTCAAACGTGGTCTACATATTGCATTTTATAGATATGGTCAACCAAAACCTCTCTCCAGCCCAAGCAACACAATAAGACCCCATTTCAAAAAAAAAAAAAAAGAGAGAGATCCATCCTTTGCTTAATTGTTAAAGCATGTCACTGTTGTAGACTAATGGTAATAAATGATGAGTTTTGGGGGTGCCCTAGCAGTTTGAAAATTTGTTCTTTGTATGATACCTGGTTCTTTATGTATAGGTAATAACTTTGCTTCTTTGATTGGAAAAAAACAAAGGATGCCAGMAGAGTCAGAACTTTAGATTAGGAAATAACCCTTGATCTTTAAATTTTTCTTTCATTGATGTATTTATTACTATATTTTGTTTTGTTTTTGTTTTTTTCCTGCAGGCCTCAGCTGTTGAAGAATGCTCTCCAGAGAGCAGTAGAGAGAGGACAGTTAGAACAAATAACTGGCAAAGGTGCTTCGGGGACATTCCAGGTTAGAAGCCAAAGATTTGGGTTTTGGATCCTCTTTATAATCTAAAAATGTATTGAGAAACCCAAAGAGTTATTTTTTTTTTTTTTTTGGTACTGGATATTGAAACCAGGGGTGTTTTATCATTAAGCTACATCCCCAGCCCTTATTTATTTATTTGTTTATTTGTTTGTATGTATTTTTTAGTTGTAGATGGGCACAGTATCTTTATTTATTTATTTTTTATGGGTGCTAAGGATCAAATCCAGGGCCTCACACTTGCAAGGCAAGTGCTTTAYCACTGAATTACAATCCCAGCCCATTCTCTCCCCTTTTTATTTTTTAAAATTTTGAGACAATGTTTCATGAAATTACTTAGAGCCTCACTAAGTTGCTGAGGCTGGTCTTGAACTTTCGATCCTCCTGCCTCAGCTTCCCAATATGCTGGGATTATAAGCATGCGCCATTGCACCCAGCTAGAGTTTTTGTTGATGTGGGTTATACCAATAGCAGTATTTACTGTATTAGAAATTAAAACTGAGGAAGTTTTAAAATACTTACTAATTCATTTAAAAATAATGGGTAACTTGCTGTAGTGACTCATGCTTGTAATCCCAGTGAATTAGGAGACTGAGGCAGGAGGATCACAAGTTGGAGTCCAGTCTTTGCAACTTAATGAGACCCAGTCTCAAAAAGGACAAATTGTAGCTCAGTGGTAGAGCACCCCAAAGTTTAATTCCCAGTACTGTAAGAAATTTTTTTTTTTTTAAAGAGAGAGAGAGAGAGAGAGAGAGAGAGAGAAATTTTAATATTTATTTCTTAGTTCTCGGCGGACACAACATCTTTGTTGGTATGTGGTGCTGGGGATCGAACCCGGGCCGCACGCATGCCAGGCGAGCGCGCTACCGCCTGAGCCACATTCCCAGCCCTGTAAGAAAATTTTTAAAAATTACATTTTTCATGGAAAAAATAATTATTTTCCCTCAAACTTTTTTTAATGAAGAGAAGCACTTTTTGTATTTTTTGCAAATGTCCTTAATATCTAGCTTTAATAGAAAACTGGTATCTGTTCCAATGTATTTGGAGTCTATGAAGAATGTCCAGCCTCACATAGAAATTCAGTTAGAAAAAGGTGGAGTATAGTAAGAGAACTTGCAGAAAGTTGTGGATATTGATTGTTCTTTGATCCTACCAAAAGTCTACAAATGGTAGGTTGGTTGTTTTCAATCTTTATTGAGGTATAATTTACTATATACCCTAATACATACTCAAGTTAAAATTTATAATTCAGTGAATTTTAATAAATTTATGAATTACTGACACCATTGAATTTKGGACATTTCCAATGCCCAAAAAAGATCCCTTGTGCTCATTTGTAGTCACTTAACATTGCCACGCCTAGCCTYAGGCATCCTGGTGATCTTCTTTCTCTATAGATTCTGCACATTTCATAAAGATGTGAAACCATTCATTACATGGACTTTTGTATCTAGCTTCTTTCAGTTTTACATATTGTAGCACGCACCTGCACTTTTTATGTATTTATTTTTTAGCTGTAGGCGGGCACAATACTTTTATTTATTTATTTATGTGGTCCCCAGCCTTTTTAATTTTTTTGTTTTGAGGCAGGGTCTTGATGAGTTGCTGAGACTGGCYTCAAACTTGAAATGCTCCTGCCTCATGCTCCCAAATGCTGGGGCTTCAGCTGCAGATGTGTTTTCATTYTCCTGGGATATATGTCTAGGAATAGACTTGCTGGACTACAGGGTGAATTTGTGTTTTAAGAAACTGGCATTTTGAGGGACGAGAGGTGGGAGGGAAAGGGAGAGAGAAGGGAAATTGCATGGAAATGGAAGGAGACCCTCATGGTTATACAAAATTACATACAAGAGGAAGTGAGGGGAAAGGGAAAAAAAAAACAAGGGGGAGAAATGAATTATAGTAGATGGGGTAGAGAGAGAAGATGGGAGGGGAGGGGAGGGGTGGGGGATAGTAGAGGATAGGAAAGGCAGCAGAATACAACAGACACTAGTATGACAATATGTAAAACAGTGGATGTGTAACCGATGTGATTCTGCAATCTGTATACAGGGTAAAAATGGGAGTTCATAACCCACTTGAATCAAAGTGTGAAATATGATATGTCAAGAACTATGTAATGTTTTGAACAACCAACAATAAAAATTAAAAAAAAAAAACTGGCATTTTGCACCATTTTATATTCCCATCAGCAGTGTATAAGTTTATTTGTATTCTTGTCAACATCTGCTCTTATTCTTTTTATTATTAGCCATACTAGTAGATATGAAATGGTATTTGATTACAATTTTGATTGGCATTTCCCTAGTGATTATTGATGATGAGCACTTATAGGCTGTTAGTTTCTTTGATGAATGTCTATTCAGATCTTTTTGTCCATTTTAAAAACAAGGTTATTTGTTATAAGAGTTTTTTTTGTTTTTGTTTTTGTTTGTTTGTTTTTTGGTACCCAGGATTGAACTCAGGGGTGCTCGACCAATGATCCATATCCCCAGCCCTRTTTTTTTGTGGTATGGGGAATTAAACTCAGGGGCACTCAACCACTGAGCCACATCCCCAGCCCTATTTTTTGTATTTTATTTAGAGACAGAGTCTCACTGAATTGCTTAGTGCCTCACTTTTTGTTGAGGCTGGCTTTGAACTGGAGATCCTTCTGCCTCAGTTCCCTGAGCTGCTAGGATTATAGGCCTGCGCATTGCACCTGCCCGAGAGTTCTTCATCTAGATAAAAGTCTCTTATTAGATATGACTTGGAAGTATTTTTTTCTGTGACTTTATTGATAGTGTCTTTGAGAGCATAAAAGTGTTTAATTTTAATGAAGTTTCATTTATCGATTTTTTTTTTTTTCACTACCAGAGTTTGAACTCAGGGGTTCTTGACCACTGAGCCACATCTCCACCCCTATTTTGTATTTTATTTTGAGTCAGGGTTTCATTGAGTTGCTTAGCGCTTCATTGTTGCTGAGGCTGGCTTTGTACTCGGTGATTCTCCTGTCTCAGCCTCCTGAATCACTGGGATTACAGGCATGCACCACCATGCCTGGCATTATATATAAAATTTTTAAATTGTTTGTGCTTTTGATCTTTAATATCTGTTACCTAATTTAAGGTCACAGCAACATTGAAAAAGATTGTTCCTTTYCTTGTTGAATTGCCTTGACACCTTATCACAAATCAATTGACCATAAATACAAGGGTTTATTTCTGAACTTTTCAGTTCTGTTCTGTTGAACAGAACTATTTTTTTTTTCTTTCTTTTTTTTCTTTTTTTTTTCCAGTGCTGGTAAGTGGAACTCAGGGCCTCACACATGCTAGGCAAGCATTCTACCACTGAGCCATATCCCCAGCCCTGCAAATCCGTAATGTTGTAACCACTGTCTTGATGACTATAGCTTTAGAGTGAATTTTGGAATTTGGAATTATAAATCCTCTTTTTTAAGAATGTTTGACTTCTGGTGTGTGTGTGTGTGGCGGGGAGCCAGCTGAGATTTTGGTGGGAATTGTATTGAATCTATAGATCACTTTAGGAAGGATTGTTATCTTTACTTTTTGTCTAGTTGTTTTTTGTTTGTTTGTTTTTTAGGTGGATACAATATCTATTTTATTTTTATGTGGTGTTGAGGTTCGAACCCAGCACCACTCGAATGCCAGGCAAGCACGCTACTGCTTGAGCCACATCCCCACCCTTTTGTCTAGTTTTTTAATCCATGAATCCCAAAGGTCTCTTCATTTTTGTGATTTCTCTCAGCAGCATTTTATAGTTTTCAGTCCATAATCTTGAATTTATTTTGTTAAATTTATTCCTGAGTATTTCAGAGCTATAAGGTATGAAAGGGTTTTCTTGATTTAATTTTCAAGTTATTCTTGCTAGCCTATAGAAATATAGTTGGCTTATCTGAATATCTTGTATCCTGACCTTGATGAACTGATTTACTCATTATAATAGGATTTTGTTTGTTTTGGTAGATTCCTACATATGGGATAATGTTGTCTGCAGAGATCATTTTACTTCTTCCTTTCCAATGTTGATGTCTTTTCTTTTTTGCATTGCAAAATACCTTTCATTTATTTCATTTAATTATTTGTGCATCTGGAATTCAAGAAAGGTTCAGGAGGGCAACAAGGACATCTAGACTGGAGGGTTCATTTGAAAGATGACTTCTTCACTCAGACGTCTGGCATCTTGATGTTTCTTGATTTTTGTCTCTCCCTCTTTTCCCATGGTGTCTGATCCATGTGATTTGGGCTCCTCACCAGAAGGGTGGTTGCAGGATCACAACTTTTTTCCTGTGATGATTGGCTCCCAAAAGGAAAGAGGTAGAAACTGCAAGGCCAGGAAAGAGCTTCCCTTGGAAGTAGCATAGTATCACTTATACCTTATAAAGATTCACAAGCATCTGCCCAGATTCAAGAGGGTATAGGAATACTTTCCAGCCTCTGATGTGGAAAACTGGTAACAAGGATGCATTGCTGAAAAGCAAATGGAGTGAAAGAGAATGTTGTGGCCACCTTCAGAAAATATAGTCAGTCACAGTAACATGGTCACACTAATCTTGATGACTTTTTCTTTTGCACGTCTGATTCTTAGAAATGTCCAGTGCTATGTTGAATAGAAGTGTGAGAGTAGACACCCTTGCCTGTTCCTTTAGAAAGCATTTAGTCTTTCACCATTATGTTAGCATTAGGTTTTTCTTAAGATTCCTTGATCAGTTAAGAAAATTCTGTTCTAGTTAATTGGGAAATCTATTGTGAATGGACGTTGTATTTGGCAAATGCTTTTTCTTTGTCACTTGAGATGATTATGCAGTTTGTGTTCTTTATTCTGTTAATAGGGTCTGTTACATTGATTTTTGTGGTAATGCCTTAAAGATTAGTTGCCATGACCTTTATGTATTTTCTTCTATAAAATACACTGGTCTGTCTGGATGTTTGAATGGATCTTTTTATTATTATTATTTTATTATTATTATTATCATCATTATTATTATTACTTTAGATGTTGATGGACCTTTATTTTATTCATTTATTTATATGTGGTGCTGAGAATCAAACCCAGTTCTTCACACTTAGTAGGCAAGCACTCTACCACTGAACCACAACTCCAGCCCTTCAATGGATCTTTTAACCAAGTATAATAATGTAACAGTGCATCGGTCATTTGGAAAATAATGGTTCGCTGGAYTATGCAAATTTTTTAGATGTTGAAATTTCATGGAATAACAACAAATCAATTATCAACTCTTATGAACAGTACTTAAGTATTTGGAAGCTAGCAAGCTCACAGTGAGAGATGCAGGTTTTCCACAATTCAGATTTTCTATTGAAAGGTTGACTTTTACATTGGCAACAAAATACTGTTAGTTAAAGTGACAGGCTTACTTAATTCATTTTCAAGATTATGACTTCCCTACCCTAAAGTTTGAACAACCTATCTCAGTTCCTTCAAGTAAAAAGGATATCCCATAAAAATGTGGCTGGTTCAGCTAACAACTCACTCACACAGGTACTTTACAGCCACTGTCATACCCCCATATGCAGCAGATGTGCTTTACTTATTCTTCCCCTTCCATCCTGTAAAATATTAAAAGAGGTGCACTCGCATGGTTATTTAAATAAAATAATTGTAACTACTTCATAAAGGGCATTCCTAAATGAAATCAGACCTTTTTTCCCCCTATAAACCATAAATATGTAGCAATGAAGATGACAATAACTACTTGTACATTTTTCTGTCTCCACGTTGATTTGTGGTACGATGACAGCAGTTTTATTAACCAACAGTGCACATGTCAACACAGTAAAACAGGCAGATCACATGAAAATAGTTACGGTCCTCTGAAAAGTTCTCAGGAACCTCTAGGGGTTTCGGGACCACTCTTTTAAGAACCAGTATTATGGAGCATTCTTCATTTTCTTCTTTGCCTGTTTTGCTTATTGGTGCTAATCTCATTCCTCCKTTTTTTTGCCTTGAAAAAGGCTATGTAATTTTCTATTTATGATACCCTAAATATTTATCAAATTTTTTCTTTTGTTTTTTTTTTCCTTATAGGATTAAAAAGGCTGTTTATTATAATTACTCCATTTTTCAGATCCAATAAAAGGAAGTATTTTCTGTGGGGAAAGCAAATTTACCTACTTATTGGGATAGAATTGTAGGTATCTCTGGGTTAGGTTGGCTGTTACTGTTTTAGGGTGGATGGAGGGGTAGATAGAAGGAGAAAATATCCATAAGAGGGGTATGGACTCCTCAGTTAGATTGAATACCTGGTAAATGGGAAAAGAAAGTCCCTAACCTGACAATTTATTGTAAAACATATCTGTGCTGATGCAGGAACTCCGACCCACCTGGTGCAGAGGAGTCTTGTCTTGACCTGCTTTGGGAGAGTGTTGTCTTGATGCTTTTCTCTTCCTCCTTGGAAAACAGCTGAAGAAATCAGGGGAGAAACCCCTACTTGGTGGAAGCCTGATGGAATATGCAATCTTGTCTGCCATTGCTGCCATGAATGAGCCGAAAACCTGCTCCACTACTGCTCTGAAGAAGTATGTCCTGGAGAACCACCCAGGGACCAATTCTAACTATCAAAGTAAGAGTCAGAGTTGAATTTAACTGGGATCAGGGCAGTTTTGTAGCTGAGTTCAATTCTCAGCACCATATAAAAATAAATGAAATAAAATAAAAGTATTATGTCCAACTACAACTAAAAAATAAATATTTTTTTAAAAAAAGAAATTACTTAAGCAGTCTAAGCTGTGAAATGAGGAATTTGGCTCAGTGGTCTCCAATGTCTCTTTTCATTGTAATTTAACATTTGGGGGGTCAGCAATTGGGGCACTCAACCACTGAGCCACATCTCCAGCCATATTTTGTATTTTATTTAGAGACAGGGTCTCACTGAGTTGCTTAGTGCCTTGCTTTTTGCTGAGGTTGGCTTTGAACTTGTGATCCTCCTGCCTTAGCCTCCTGAGCCACTGGGATTACAGGCAAATTTGGGGGCACTAAGTAAGTGTTTGGTGAACTAATTTAATACCTTTGATCACGAAGGAGTCACTTAATGCATGTCAATTACTGTATGTATTGAATTACCAAATATGAACAAATACATAACTTTCTTTATTCCTGAATTTTTGTTCAGTGCATTTGCTGAAGAAAACTCTACAGAAATGTGAAAAGAATGGGTGGATGGAGCAGATCTCTGGTAAAGGATTCAGTGGCACGTTCCAACTCTGTTTTCCATATTACCCCAGGTGAGCACTTGGCTCTTACTTTGAAGCATTGGTCATTGTGAATTTAATCAGATTCTAGTTGTTGTTAAATTGAATACATTGAACTGGAAACATTTGAAAATAAGACCTATATCATTTTGGAGTAGAATAGTTCTCAGACAAGTTTTGACTACCTTTCTAGAGTTTATTAGTAATTATTATGTTATTATTAATCATGCATCAGATTCTTTGAGATCCTCAGATGTTTCCCTTGCCCCCCACTCTTTTGTAGCACTAGGGATCAAACCCATGGGTGCCATATGACTGAGCTGCACCCCTAGCCCCCCTTTTGGGGGAGGGATTAGGGATTGAACTCAGGGGCACTCAACCACTGAGCCACATCCCCAGCCCTCTTTTGTGTTTTATTACAAGTARGGTCTCACTGAGTTGTTGGGGCTGGCTTTGAACTTGAGATCTTCCTGCCTCATCCTCCCAAGATGCTGGGATTAAGGGTCACCCTGTGCCACCCTGTCCCATTTTTTGGAGCATAAGTTGTCACTCCCCCCCCCTTTTTTTTTTTTAAGTTGTCAGTGGACCTTTTATTTATTTATATGCAGTGCTGAGAATTGAACCCAGTGTCTCATTTATGCTAGGCAAGCACTCTACCACTGAGCCACCATG